CCACCATCACTTATAATACCCGTATACGTACCCGGACCAATAGAATCGAGCAGTCACGAGTTTTTACGAACAACAGACTTTGAATACGTAAAACTGTATTTTGTTTAAGGTGGAAAATACACCTCGATCGATGTTCATAAAAGTCAACAAGAAAGAGAGTTTATAGTACATTTATCTTTTGCCGAAGGTTCCGACTCCATCTTTGAAGGTGGTGGTTTTATTTCTAGAGCCAAGATAAACATCGAAAAAGAAAAAAGAAAATATTCCTATCATCTTAACCAGGACCATACGAAAGAAGAAATGTCGTTAGTACGCGTAAATGTTTTTACTTTTAATACCCGCAAATATAATAATGCCAGGCCAAACAAGCACGCTATATACGATATCATTTATGGTTCCATTTATCGGAAATTCACTTAATTTAATGACTTAAAAAATGGAACTCGAAAGCAGACAACAATACATGATAGACAAACAAGAAGAGTTGAAAATAAAGTTGAGACAGTACAATACATGCAGGAAAACATGGAGTAGAATCGATTCTGTTTTCAAAACAGCGAGCACAGTTCTAACGGTAGGAGTAACGGTGGCAACGGCCGTGACTGGTGGATTAATGCTTCCGGTCATCGTCCCAACCGTAATGGCTGCATTAACAGCCGTTCAAACGACCTCTTGCGGTCTCATCACTTTAGGTTTCACGAGCAAAAAGAAAGCTCATTATAAAAAGAAAACGGATATCTTGAATATGTATCTTAATCAATTGTACATCTTTTTCGAAAGATCGAGAGAAGACAAGAACATAATAGTTGAAGAATTAGAAGAATTCAATGAAATTCTGGACAAATTCCATACAGAAATATCAGCGGTCAAAATAAAGAAATAATCATACATATATACTTATATATCAAAAAATATGAATAAAATCGAACTTGCAGACGATGAAACATTGATAGAAAACGCCCTATTTTCCGATGTTATCAAGGATATCTCTGATAAATTTAAAACATTCAAAGGACAAATTAAAATAGATGGAAAGATAGTCGAGGAAGGGAATCACAGACAATACATGTGACTCCTCGGTTTCAATGCCAAAACCTTTCACGATATCTTTTCAAATATGGACAAAAAATCCGATGCTTCCGATTGGTATTTTACTGGAAAAATAATTTTATGAAAGACAATTCCAAGAAATAAAAAGATCGAGAGTTGGTAGAGGAGGAACTGATCTACTTAAAAAGAAAAGGAGTGATGACTTGTGCTAGAATGAAGGAATTCAACAAGAAATTCAACACTTCGTTTCAAATTTATAATCCCAAAAACAGACATTTTCATTCCAGAAACGTTCACGATGAATTAGATTGGGTTTTTTACTTACACAACTCGCATTTCTGTTTGATTAGAAGAAGCCAAAAAAGTTTGGGAATTCAAGAAATAGAAGACAATTACGAACAGGTGTGGAAAGCGTTATTCGCTTGGGATTGCGAAACGTATTCAGAAAAAAAAACAGTCGAAGAGCAATTCTGTATTGTTGCACTTTGGTCAATTTGGAAAAACTAAGAAAAATGTTGGACAGAATAAAACGTCCAACAAATGACATTCCAAAAGAATATTACGACAAACTAATGACCAACGTTGTTGAAACATTTGTGGGTCTAAACTGCATAGATCAAATGTTGAAATATTTAGGTCAATATGATAGAAAGAGATTAATATTAATTTCTCACAACGGCCGTGGTTTCGACAACTGGATCGTGCTTAAAAATGCAAAAAAAACTAACGCATTGCCCTTTTAAAACACCCAGAGGAATTCTATCTTTTCCTTTATCTAATCCATACACAGATGAAGATTTACCAATCTTCCCGCGAATTTGAGAAAGATTGCCGACGTAGATATCGCTAAATACACGCAAGACAACTGGGAGGAATTGAGACACGAATGGGAACCTTACGCCAAGAGAGACACGCTCTGTTTGGGAGCTTGTTTGATAAAATACAACCATGTCACGAAAGAAGTTGTAAACCAGAATATGTCCAATAATCTAACGGCTCCATCTTATCTTTAAAGAGGTTGGTATTATTTATATCATTACGATAAAGAAATGGTG